GAATCAGCTGGAAATGTTCGCTGCATCAGCACGAAGAAGGGATCTCTCCTGACAGCTTGGCACTTACACTTGGTAGCCTTCTGAAATCATGGTGCATCTCGCAGGCTTGAAGCTCGCGCTTTTGTTCGGTACCCTCAGCGGCGCGTACGCTGCCGGGCTCGTGAAGCTGCCTGTCCGCGCGTCGTTGTAGGTGTCTTGCTTGTCATAGCTGTTCGTTGCGCTAACACGACCATATACTAGGGCGAGCCCCTCAGCACCTCTGGGCAACAAGATCTCCAAGTTAACTGTATCCGGTGTGCATCTTCGGTGGCTGTAGAAGAGGAATGCCGCGCTTACCACGTGCACTGCAGTCACGACTGGGGATGACCAGACATTCGACAACGTGCTTGTCGACACGGGAAGCTCCTCGCTTTGGTTCGGCGCGTCCAGCCCGTACGTCCCGGGTCCCAACTCGAAAGCGTGAGTCGACGGCAGCTATACCTCCCGCTCTGCACTTACCGCGACTGTGTTCGGCAGCACCGGCGAGACCTTTGGCGTTGAGTATGACGAGGGCAGCGCGACCGGCCTGGTATACCTGGACACTGTGACCATCGGCTCTGCGACGGTGACGAATCAGTACATCGGCGCTGCGAACCAGACGTCGCTCCTTGCCGACCTCGATCCTCTGGACGGCTTTAGTACGTGTACTTTCTGGTGTCCATTCGTGACTACTGTTTGACCGGCTTGCGCACAGTCGGCCTGTCGTTCAACGGCTCGAATGCACACACGATCAGCGGTATCGATGGGCCGACGAACACGTTCTTCGACAGTCTTGTCGAGGAGGGCGTCATTGAGCAGGCGCTATGGAGTATGGTCGTCCCGGCACTCGATGTTGCGGCCGGGCAGCAAGTCGGCGAGGGCGAGATTCTGTTCGGTGGGTACGACGCGAGTAAGGTGGAGGGCGATATTGCTTGGCTGGACGTCACCAATGAGTTCGACCAGTTCACATGGGCCTTTAACGTAGGTGTTCCCTCTCGCTGTTTGTTGGTCGAGGATGGATACAATTCTGACCTGCTTGTATCTGCCAGATGGACGCCATATACTTTGGTGACAGTCAGATTTCCAACGACGATTTCGTGTTTGCTTACACGGACAGCGGAAACATCTGGTTGAGTCTCAACATGTGAGCCGCACCGAGTCCTCCACAAAATCTTGTTTCTGACAGTGTGTATGCAGAGATAGCTACCTCGCGGTTCAGAAATCGGTCCCAGGCGCAGCGGGCGCGTCAATCGGTCCTGCGGGCGAGATTATGGCGTTCCCCGCGAACGCCTCCCTCGCTGATCTGCCGTCGATTAGCTACTCGATGGCCGGCCAGAACTTCACACTCACGCCCGAGCAGTATGTCATGCCGTCCAGCGCGTACGCCACGTTCGGCATCACAGACGACGGCCGGCACTACACGTGGTTTGCGAGTGCTGGCTCCCAGGCGGACGCGATCCTGGGTCAGGCGTGGCTCCAGTACTTCTACTCGATATACGACGTCGGGAACACGAGTGAGTGCCAGTTGTCTTTGTGTGCTATGCGAGGCTGAGGCTGATGGTGACCTGCAGAGATCGGGTTTGCGAACTATGCTTGAGTGGAGATGTTGTTGCGGGGAGGCTGGGCCAACGTGGGGCTTGGCTTCGTCCGAGAAGCTACCTAGGTGGTTCTTGATTGTGTTATCATCTCTGGCCAGGACACGATAGCAACACGTATCTCGACGTATCTCATTGGATCTCCTCTGTCACTGCAAGTTCCACTGCGCCCGAGATGTCGGAAGCTCTGCGGGCTTCTCAGCATGATCCCAGTCGTGGCCGCGCGTTGATATCGTATATCTGTTTTCGACAAAAGGATACCAACCAAGGACATCGTTAATGATGACTAATTGTGGATCTCGATGATCTACCCTGCTCTGTTGTCTTGGTAGCAGGGCCCAGAAAGATCTGCACAGCAAGCATCCGCGCACTCCGTCCATACTGAACGGCGCACGCGAATCGGGGCCCCGTGCGGTGATGTCCGACGTAGCAGCTCCCTCGTGCAGCTCAAGCGTGAAGACGTCGAGTGCAAACATGAGTCCTGCAGGGGAGAAAGAGCCAACATGAGCGATGAGCCCTTCCATCAACAAGAGCATTTCCCGAATACTGTAAGCCGCGAGCTGCCCCTGACCAAGGTATACTATGGGTGTCCGAGATTTGTGATATTCAGAAGTCTAAATCTACTATAGGCGCAGCTAAGCCCGGGTAGTCAGAAGATGAATGACTTTCTCCGGTTGGTCCTAATGCGACCAGTGCCAAGCTCAGTCTTCAGACAACGAGAAAGCCAATGGGACGCCCACTATGTAGCTGTATCCCTCCAGTTCATCAAATTCAATATCGCGGCGCGGCGAGCAGACCGAGAGAGGATCATGGATCCAGCCAGGAGGTTCAGGCCGGCTCCCCGAGGTTGGTACAAAATATTGAAAATTGTCAGGGTGCGTCAGATAGCCTAGTCTAAACCTCGGCCGAGGATGAAGAGTGATCGTAAGACTTGACATCTAAAGCTTTAAACCTGAGTATAATGTGCAGAGAACTGTCTTTGCAGTTTCTCAAGGCGAATTAATATTTATAGAAGATTTGTGAAGGAGGTGTGGCGGGGTATGTGCAGCCCGGCAGTTTGGGGTATCTAGGGTCATGGACGCGTAGACGCCCGAGTGGTGACGAGCTCTGCAAGGTGTATTCGTGGTTATTTGACAGCCTCGAGCGCGCAGATGTTGCACTTTTCTATCGCAAATACGAACGAACTCGTCGCGTCCGAGAACGGCACAGGAGCCGGACGCTTCCTCTTACCCTTCAGCCCCGCAAAGATATTCAACTTCCTATGTCGATTCGGACAAGCCATCCTCCGTCTCTCCGCGAGAGCGGCACCCAAGTATCTATAAAAATGATCTTCAGAGCTTACAGTACTGCCACCAGCTCTTCAAAGTGTCAGCTGACACGTCTGTATCATTCCGTACCGGATGTCCGTACGTGAGTACGATGACAAGTCGCGACTAAATTGGTCTTGGCGCGTACATAGACTTTGTCAGTCTGCGGCAAGTAATGTCCGTGCGTAAGACAGCCTCTTTGCAGCCCTTTGTGCGCCGATTGCGTCGGCCTGACCGCCGCTTTGTCGAGAGCACCAGCAAGTCTCGTCGAATTTTGTTCACTATCGACGTCGTCATCCACTGCAGGGGGTTAGACGTGGGAACCGGCGACATTAAGATACGTACAGGATCCTGGACGGCGGCGAGGGCCACAGGGCAGCGTGCGAACGCTGGTATTCATGACCATATGCCATCACGGATCTCATAGCAGCCTTCGCGCCTTGTTTTCCGAGCCGACGAAGCCAAGTGTGCCGCCGGCCTCGCTCGACGTATATAAGTCGGATCGGTTGAGACTACCGCTGCACCAACCACGAACAGCGATCTCTCTTGACGGCTTGGCACTTACACTTGACTACTTTCTGAAATCATGGCGCGTCTCGCAGGCTTGAAATTCGCGCTTTTCTTCGGTACCCTCAGCGGCGCGTACGCCGCTGGACTCGTGAAGCTGCCTGTCCGTGCGTCGTTGTAGGTGTCTTGCCTGTCACGACTGTTTGTTGCGCTAACAAGCCCATACGCTAGGGCGAACCCTACAGCACCTCTGGGCAACAAAGTCACCAAGTTGACTGTTTCCGGTGCGCATATCTGTTAGTCATAGGAAATAGCATGCCGTACTTACCATGTCCACCGCAGTCACGACTGGGAACGACCAGACGTTCGACAATGTGCTCGTCGACACGGGAAGCTCGTCGCTGTGGGTCGGCGCCTCGAGCCCGTACGTCCCGGGTCCGAACTCGAAAGCGTGAGCCAGCGAGACCTTTGCCTTCCGCTCTGCACTCATCGCTGTGTCCCGCAGTACCGGCGAGACCTTTGGCGCTGGCTACCAAGAGGGCAGTGCGACCGGCCCGGCGTACCTGGACACTGTGACCATCGGCTCTGCGACGGTGACTAACCAGTACGTCGGCGCTGCGAACCAAACCTCATTTCCTGTCAACCTCAATCCTCTGGACGGCTTCAGTACGTGCACTTCTGGTGTTTGTTTGTGACCACTGTTTGACCGGCCTGCGCACAGTCGGCCTGTCGTTCAACGGTTCGAATGCACACACGATCAGCGGTATCGACAAACCCACCAACACGTTCCTGGACAGTCTTGTACAGGAGGGTGTCATCGGGCAGGCGCTGTGGAGCATGGTCGTCCCGGCACTCGATGTTACGGCCGGACAGCAAGTCGGAGAGGGCGAGATCGTGTTTGGTGGGTACGACGCGAGCAAGGTGGAGGGCGAGATCGCCTGGCTGGGCGTCACCAATGATTTCAACCAGTTCACGTGGGCCTTCAGCGTGAGTGTTCCCTCTCGCTGTTTATTGGTCGAGGATGGATATCACTCTAACCTGCTTGTCCCCGCCAGATGGATGGCATATACTTTGGTGACAGTCAGATCTCCAACGACGGTCCGCTGTTCGTCTACACGGACAGCGGAGGCATTGGGCTGAGTCTCAACGTGTAAGCCGCGCTGAGTAACCCATAATCTCTCCCTTCTGACCGCGCGCACGCAGAGATAGCTATCTTGCGATCCGAAACTCGGTCCCGGGTGCAGCAGACGCGTCCATCAGCCCCGTTGCCTCCATCCTCGCGTTCCCCGCAAACACCTCCCTAGCAAACCTGCCACCGATCCACTACTCGATGGCCGGCCAGAACTTCACACTCACGCCCGAACAGTACATCGTCCCGTCCAGCGCGTACGCCGCGCTCAACATCACGGACGACGGCCGGCACTACACGTGGTTTGAGAGTGCTGGCTTCCAGGCGGACGCAATTCTGGGCCAGGCGTGGCTCCAGTTCTTCTACTCGATATATGACGTCGGCAACACGAGTGAGTGCCGGTTGCCTTTTAGTGGTGCGAGGCTGAGGCTGATGACGACCTGCAGGGATCGGGTTTGCGAACTATGCTTGAGTGGAGATGTGGTTGCGGGGTGGCTAGGGCGACGTAGAGCACGTCTTCGCCCGAGATGCTGCCTAGGCTCTTCTTGATTGTATCATCATCCCTCGTCAGGATGCGATGGCAACACATATCTCAGCGTATCTCGTCGCATGTCCTCTGCCGCTGCAAGTTCCGCTGCGCCCAATCTGTCGGAAGCTCTGCGGGCTTCTCAACATGATCCTGGTCGTTCCCTGTCGATATCGTATCTCCGTTTTGACAGGAGAATACCAATCAAGGACACCTTTTATGTTGATTTATTGCAGTTTTCGACGATCTCCCCCACTCTGTTATCCAGGATGAGGCAGAGACGACGATGGCAACGTACGCTTGGGATAAATATTCCGCCGGGCTTCGTAGCAGCACTCACACGAGTCCAAGCCTCGCGCGGAAAATGTCTCAAGCAATGGCACCCTCGTGCAGCTCGAGCGTGGCGACCTTGAGAGTAGACATGGGCGTGGGACAGCATGTGAGTAAGACTTTGCCCGCCTTAACGCGCTCATCGACGGACAGCGAGGCGTTCTGGAGGGGCGGTACACCTCGGAGGCGATTTGACGTTTAAAATTATTTATGTTCACGGTCGTATTGGTTGAAAGAAAGTGGTCAGGACCGATCAACGATAAAGAGAGCTCATACAACTCGTAAGAGGAAGGGTCAACGGAATATTGAGCTGGTTTTTCGAAACACTAGAGAGATCGCTCATGTCATACCCAAATTATCAGTAGCGCTGCAACTGGAGCATTTCCTGGATAATGTAAGCCGCGAGTCGCCCCGACCAAGGTATGCCGCGGGCCGTCTAGATCTTTGGTATTGATATGCTATGTAGAAGTCTAAAATTTTAGGTGCGGCTACGCCCGAGTAGTCAGAAGATGGATGACTTTCTCCGGGTGGTCCCAATGCGACTAGTGCAAAGTTCAGTCATCAGACATCGAGAAAGCCGGCGGTACACTCACCATGTGGTTGCATCCCTCCAGTTTGTAAAACTCGATATCGCGGAAACGAGTCTTCTCGGCTCGAGCCGCCTCCAGCCTGTCCCAAATAATTTTGGTCGCAAAGACACAGTCACTCATCGTCTCGTCGCCCCACGCACACACGATCCTGATCTTCGGTAATATTCCGTCCAATCGGAATAGTGCCCGCTCGAAGTTCTCGCGGAAGACGTCGGGAGCGATGCGGATGATGTGCAAGGTCGAGCGGACGAATGCGTCGCGGTCCCCGATGGCGTCGCGTTCCTCCTTCGACATGCGGAGCAGCGTCGGCGTCTTGGATGGGTCCTCGAGCGGGCTCTCGTGCATGGGCACGCGGGCGTTGAGTTCCTCAGCTGTGATGCTTTTGAAGTCGTCCACAGTCGAGAAATAGTACGAGAGCCGGAGCCGAGCCAAGTTGATTCGTTCGTCTAGCGATAGAGACGCATCGCGGAGGGGAGAATACGAGCCTTGCAGGGATGCCGCCCCACAAGTCTGGCCGGACACGGGATCTGCTCGCTCTCAGTCATCATCTTGCCCAGGATGAGGGATAACGAACTCACCATGAAGAATTATTGTGCGCAAATAATCACCCAGAACTTCGCGAGTCTCTGCTGGCAGAGAACCAGCATGAGCCAGCAATGACATCGAAAGGTTGGTGCTCATAGACCACGTGACAAGAGTCATGCCACCGACAAGCTTTCCGTCTGCCTGAGTAGTCGGAGGTATGCCGTATGTTGTCGCGAAGTGTCGTAGAAAAGCCGCAACCTGCTGCCCTTGCGCCTTCATAGCGCCTGCTTGTATTTCAGGATCGCCGCTCTTAATCGCGTCCATCTCTTCCTCAGAGAACTTGGTAGACCCTGGGTAATCTCGTAGGTTGACACGGACTATCCGCAGATTGCTTGACGCAGCATACGGAACCAAATTCTGGAATGTCACTAACAGCGAAGAGGTTAGTGGTGCAGATATGAATAGATGGAGTAGCCTACATCCGTGAAAGTATGACCCATGTAGTATGATAACGGTGAGATATGTGGATGAACCAGGAGGTGCACCTGTGTCCTCGAAGAAGAGGACGGTGCCGGTGTCATCGACTGGCGCTGTCGGCATCAAATCTCGTTTTGGCTCGCGGCGTTTTTTCGACTCTTCTTTCCTTCTTGCTGTCTGAGTATGCCACTGACAGAGGAGAGTATGTCAGAGAAGAAGATGTTGCCCTTTTGACCTGTTCCCTCTGTCGTGGGAGGGATCGAGGACGGTTCTGCGACATTTCTTATCGGCTGGTCGCAAGTCAGTGACCAATGTCTTACCTGGCGATCGCGACATTCGTTTCACGTATGGGAGCGACTGAAGCCGATAATACAGCGCGGGACTACAGGGTTGTAAGCGCGGTTTTTTTTTCTTGAGGGAACCCAGCCAAAAATAACGAAAAAGGGGACTAATTTTCTTTCGATTGCACACTGGGGCAAATTGGGACAAAAACTGGTGCAAAACTAAACAAAAGATGCGGCAAGTCTAGTATAAAGGGAAATTTTGTGTCCGAGTTTTCTCGGATGACAACTGGTTAAACCGTCGACAGGTTCTTGTTCACCCGCTTTTGATTGATATAAAAAAACTGCATACTACCACCCGGTGTACTCATGAGAAAAATTTGGAACTTTTTTATCACAACAAAATGCAAAAACAGCTTGAAAAAATAAGTAAGAAAATGTCGTATTTTTCGCTCGGTATCCGGCAGTCCGGCAACTCGGCAACCCAGCAGCCGAGCCGACTATCGTCCGGGTGCCGCCGTCCCCGGGCGCTTTGGTAAATGGCCTGGCGAACAATCGGCTCGGCTGCCGGATTGCCGAGTTGCCGGGCTGCCAGATACCGAGAGAAAAAATACGACATTTCCTTACTTATTTTTTCAAGCTGTTTTTGCATGTTTTCTGTGACAAAAAGGTTCCAAATTTCTCTCGTGACTTCGCCTTCCTTTCGCACAAAGCACATCCCTTTGATGAGATCTGCGAAGCTACAAGGTGGGAGGAGGAAAGCTGTAACAGAGAGGAGACAAATCTGAGCTGCTCCAAGAAGTACTAGTGGCTACCTAGTCTCAGTTGCAGGATAGCCAGACTCAACTGGCAAATCGAGGATCGTCTGCCAGTTCGCAGTGCGCTCTTACTGACGTACTCTCGGTACCTAGTGCGGGCCTCCAGCGAGCAATATGATGTTGCGCTTTTTTATCACGAACACGAACAAACATGTGCGTCCGAGGACGGCACAAAAGCCGAACGCTTCCCCTTGCGCTTCAGCGCTGCAAAGATGTTGAACTTCCTATGTGGACTCGGATGCTTGCCTTCTTTCGTCTCCCCGCGAGATCAGCATACTAACGCCTGTGAATATTATCTCTCAAAACATACACTGCCGCCAGCTCACAGAACCGCTGAGTCTGCAAAACACCAACTGGCGCAGTTGTACCATCCCGTACCAGATACCCGTACGTGAGTATGATGTCAAGCTGCACCTGGTCGTGACTAACGTTATATCGGTGCATACGTAGGCTCTTTCTCTCCACGGCAAGTTATATCCGCGTGTAGTCATGAGCTCTTTGCGCGCTGATTGCGTCGGCCTGAATGCCGCCTCGTCGAGAACAACAGCCTTGTCAAGAACATCAACTTCGTTTTCCGTAATCCTTGCTGATCGACAGAACATTCACGTGCACTATCGACTTCTTGGACCGGACGCAGACGTCGGTAAAATTAATATGCATTCGAGCCCTGGACAGTGGCGGAGGTGACAGGGCGGCGTGCGAACTCTGATATGCACAGGTAGTCAGTATTACATGCCATCACCTGTCTCATAGCAACCCTTCGCCGTATTCGCCGAGTTCTTCGAAGCTGGGTGGACCTCGCTCGATATATATATATCGGCTTGGACTGCTGCTTCACCAGCTACGAAGAGATCTCTCTCTCTCTCTCTCTCAGCAACCTGATACTTGTCTCTGGAACGCCTCTTAGAATCATGGCTCATCTCGCAGGCATGAAACTCGCGCTTCTCTTTGGTGTTCTCGGTGGTGCGTACGCCGCTGGGCTCGTGAAGCTGCCTGTCCGCGCATCGTTGTAGGTGTCTTGCCTGATATGGCTGTTTGTTGCGCTGATACGAGTGTATGCTAGGGCAAATCCTACGGCATCTCTGGGCAACAGAGTCACCAAGTTGACTGTTTCCGGTGCGCATGGCCAGTGGCTGTAGAAGAGGAATGCAGCGCTTACCACGTACACTACAGTCACGACTGGGAACGACCAGACGTTCGACAACGTGCTCGTCGACACGGGAAGCTCCTCGCTTTGGGTTGGTGCCTCGAGCCCGTACGTCCCGGGCCCCAATTCGAAAGCGTGAGTCGACGGCAGCTATACCTCCCGCTCTGCACTTAATGTGCCTGTGTTCTGCAGCACCGGCGAGACCTTTGGCGTTGGCTACGAGGAGGGCAGCGCGACCGGCCTGGTATACCTGGACACTGTGACCATCGGCTCTGCGACGGTGACGAACCAGTATGTTGGCGCTGCGAACCAGACGTCGCTCCCCACCGACCTTGAGCCTCTGGACGGCTTCAGTACGTACAACTTCTGGTACTCAAGCATGCTCAGTGCTGACCGGGCCCTCGCGCAGTCGGCCTGTCGTTTAACGGCTCGAATGCTCACACAATCAGCGGTATCGATGGGCCGACGAACACGTTCCTCGACAGCCTTGTCGAGGAGGGCGTCATTGAGCAGGCGCTGTGGAGTATGGTTGTCCCGGCGCTGGATGTTGCGGCCGGGCAGCAGGTCGGCGAGGGTGAGATCGTGTTTGGTGGGTACGACGTGAGCAAGGTGCAGGGCGAGATCGCCTGGCTGGACATTATCAACCCGTTCAACCAGTCCATGTGGAGCTTCAACCTGCGTGCGCCTTCCAGGCCGTACCGAGACGACAGCCATTCTGATAAGCATGTCCTTGCTAGATGGATGGTATATACTTTGGAGACAACCAGATCTCCGCAGATGGTCCGCTTTTCGTCGACACGGACAGCGGGGACATCTGGTTGAGCCTTAATATGTGAGCCGCACCAGCTCTTCCTTCCGTATCGCGCCTGACTGCATGCAAACAGTGAGAGTTACCTCGCGATCCAGAATGCAGTCCCGGGCGCTGCAGGCGCGTCGATCAACTCCGAAACTGTGATCCTCGCGTTCCCCGCGAACGCCTCCCTTGCAGACCTGCCGCCGCTCCACTACTCGATGAACGCCCAAAACTTCACTCTCACTCCCGAGCAGTACATCGTCCCGTCCAATGCGTATGCCATACTCAATATCACGGGCGACGGCCGGCACTACACGTGGTTTGCGAGCGCTGGCTTCCAGATGGACGCGATCCTCGGTCAGGCGTGGCTCCAGTACTTTTATTCGATATACGATGTCGGGAACAAGAGTAGGTGCCGATTGCTTTTCTACGCCGTGCGGGATGGGGGCTGATGATGACATGCAGAGATCGGGTTCGCTAACTACGCTTGAGTATAGAACTGCTTGCGTGGAGTCCAAAGCAGCTCACATTCGCTCAAGGAGCTACTCGATTATTTCTTGATGATATCGTGATCTCTCACAGGCATAATGATTCATTACAGTTTTGCCTGCTCCAATGTCCTGGCAGTTGGGCCCAGAAGCGTCTGGTGCCAAACAGTGCATGATCAAGACCCCACGCAAATATGTCCAGCGCAAAATGCAGAAAGGAAGTCCGGTGACCACTGCGACCTCAAGGCCTCATAAGCGGCGTCAGTATCGGACTCTTCGTGCACAATGCGCATGGCGCACTCGTGCAGCGCGAGGTCATAATGCCAGAGGAAACAAGAAGGTACGATATACCCACGAACAACATACGCGACGCTACCGCCAACGATAAAGTGAGCCCACACAACTTGCAAGAGGAGGGAAACCTTTCACATCTGCTGCGATGGTCTATCCGAAAGCTTTATGGTGCCGCCGCTCAAAGTACTTAGTTACACTCGATGGCAGTACCGCAGTAGCAGGACTTGGCAAGGGCATTGTGACCGGCCTGGACGAGCGGTTGGTGGTCTGTGCCAGCATCCGCTGAATAGTACACATATTCGTCATTCGACTTATCCGGGGCATGGACCCAGTACTCAGTGGGCATTGATGAATATTCTCGTGAATATCGAGCTCGCTGTGCGATTCCGATACGTCGTTCAGACCGACGCGCCTGGCAATTTTAATTCGAGACTTCCTGCCTCCCGTCTATGCCACAGTCCCCACAGGACTCTAGAATTTTGATAGCGAATAGATTTTAATGCAGTATACAGAGGAATTTAGTTACGATAGGCTCGGTAGTCCGTTACAAGAACAGCAAGCGACATGTCCCAGCTAGTGCCATGCCGTCCAAGCTAGTGTTCCTGCACTGTAGCTGATGACTCTTGCACGAGGATGTCCGGCAATATGGAGGAGAGAGTATATGTTGCCAGCGTCAGTCTTGGCCGGAAAGCTTCAAGGGCTTTGTGGCGACTGGATCTCCGGAGCTTGCGTCGGATCTGCCGGTGGGAGTCTCGGGCGGCGGCGTCAGCGACGGCGACCGAGAGAACCGGCCATTCGAGTTTGCCAACGAAGGCGTGGTCAGCGGCGTCCGCAGAACTGCCCGATACGTCTCGACCTTCTTCCTCTCGTCCTTCACCGCCGTCTCGACCTTCTCCAGCTCCCGCTCCTTGTCGTACAGCTCCTTGTGCGCCTCTGAAAGCCGCTCATCCAGAGCATCCATCGTGTCCTGCAGGCAGGCTACGGTGTTCCTCGTGTTCTCCAGTATCGCCTCTCGCTGGAACATGCCTGGCGTGACCTTCCGGGACGCGAACTTCTTGTCGCGCTCTGCCTCGACTGCGCGTACGAAGCCGCTATAGGTCTCCAGCGCGGCTGCGTGGTCGCCAGAGAGAGTGGTGGCCTGCTCGACTAGCGAGTCGTTGGCCTCCTTCAGCTGCTCGTATTCGGACTTGAGGCTGGCGTGCTGCGACGCAAGAGTGCCGTTCGTTCCACGAAGGCGCGCCAGCTCTGCGTCGAACTCCTTCTGCCGCCCCTTGTGTCCCTCCAAGTCCGCCGCCGACTTCTCTC